ATCCACAAACAGGCAAAAACAAGAAATAACACACACACACACAAAAATATCACAAACAATGGACGTCACAACAGAAAACACACAAATACTCAAAACTATTTAACCCCAAGTACCTGCTGCATCGCCCACACATGCAGCAAAACCAGAGAAACAGCGGTACATGGCATCAATAGAACATCAGAAGAAAGTCGCATCATAAAGTCAGTGTGGATGAAGGGTTAGGAACAATACACCCATGAAAAACAAAAAGAAATGCCAAAATATGCAGTGAAGAAGTAGTAAAGAAAGAACGCAAACCTGACATATAAACTTGTTTATATATCAAATTTTTCTGGCCAAAACTGGTGCCTTTCCCATGTACTTCACGTATTAGCATATCAAACTTACTCATTAAGTAAGTTAAGTACTGCACTGAATTGTATTTTTAAGATGCTGCTGTAGCTCTGTTTACATGCATCATACAACTTTAGTTAGGGATTACAAACTTTCACCAATTTAATTAATTGAATGTCACCTATGTTGCAAATCATGGAATGTTTGGGGAATAAGAAACGGATGCTGTTTCTCAAGGAAATTAATTGGGCCACAGCATGTTGAGTAGTAGTAAAATGTGCTGTACTCATATATTAATCATTAACATTCTTATTTAAGATCTAGAAGCTTTTGAATTGATTATACATTATGTTATGTGTAGTCGTGAAAAAAGCTTTAGCAGGAACCTGGGTATTAGTCAGTACACTGAAGCATCTTATCCTCTTTACCTTTGGTTTTGTTCACTGGACAAGATAACCTCAGAATATTTTAGCCATCTGTTTTAACAAAGCTTCCTGCGACCAGTATAATGAAGATGAACATGAAAGGAATTTCATCTTTACTAGTTAATAGGAAGCATTTGGAATAAAAGCACACTCATCAAACCAAATGAGTTGTCTCAGAGACAGCAGAGAAGACAGAGGAAGCCATTTTGGAGGATTAGGACTCACATGATCCAGCACTAAGGAAACTAAAAGCTACTAAAAAGCAAGTGATGAGGTCATGACAATACCACACATCAAAAATCTATGGGTGGGGATGGGGATACGTACTTTCAGCAGCTAGCAGTCCTAGAGATAGCACAACAGGAGGAAAACACCCCCCCAAAAAGAGAGGTGGAGATTAGAGGAGTTTTATGGCAACTACAAATGTACAATTTAACACCTCAATGTGAGAGAATGCCATAGACTGTATATAAAGATGGACAAGGTGAGAGCTCCCTGAAGTGAAGTCACTGCCATCACTGCAGTATACAGCAGGAACAAATCAAATAAAGGTAGCCCTACGCGCTAGATATTATTACATTGATACACATGTACAAACAGTCATTTTACTAGTAAGCTGGTTTTAAATAAGTTATTTTATGATATATAAAAGGGTGTATCTTGGATGATTTGACATTGTTGATTGGCTGTCTGATACTGTGGTTCCACCTTTAGTCAAAATCAGGTTGCAAAATGCATCACAAATCCAGTTATATACAGTCAATGGAGAAAAAGAAAGAAGGGGGAAAAATAGAGAGCTGACAGTGTGAGAAAGCATGAGGGCACAGGGAGAAAAGGGAGGAACAGGGGAAATAGAGGCAAAAGTGGCAACAGAGAGAGAAAAAATGAACAAGCAGCAAAGTCTAAGAATAATCTGCCAAGCTGCTGCAAGCATCTATACTACACAAGTCCACAAGTCTGGTGCCCCACTGCAAAAATAAACTAGTCATCAGGAAGCAAGATTGCAATAGACTGCCAGACTCAGCATAAATGGCATACATGGTGGTATATCTGACTGCAGTGGCTACACAGAGCACTGGGCAGAAATTTGAAATGCTTCGCTCACTGTATCAACTCATTAGATGGTGACGTCACACACTGCCCATTATCTGGTGTTAATGCAAGGACACAAGTGGTTTCTATATGCTGATAACTACTGGCAGGTACAGCCAGCAGTCTTCTTATCAAGGGAAGTGAAAATCTGTGGCAGAGACAGGGAAGTGAGGCTGTTGGCCAACATCTGTCTTTGCTTTAACAGAGGAAGTCCTGCACAGACAGCTGGAAATCACATTAAGATGCTAGAATAGTATGCATGAGAATAGAAACTGGGCTAGAAAGTGAATGTCCTGTTTGTGTTCTGCATGCAGATGCATGCTGATAGATTTCATTTCTGACCTTGACTTGGGTATTTTAAATATGGAGGCACAGCTAAATCTTTACACAGACATCAACTGGTATAATTTCTTACTATGTTACTATATTGTCCTCTTCCTCCTGCCTAAACCAGGATATCTGTTGTGTGATTTACCTGAGGAGGTGGGGTCATCTGAGAAGTCATGTAGCTCCTCTGGTGGGTCTCCGTAATAGGAATTAAACTTGTGACTTGAAACAGCAGCCAGAACTGCACCCTGGAATACAAAGCAGCTATTAGCTAACACAGCTATTAACCTAAGTCTCCATGTTGTGAGGTGTGTGAACATTTATGTGTATATGAGGCCTTAACAGCACAGGCCTGTTATGAATCAAACATCTGACAGTAAATTCAACTAGGTCACAGTGTGGAGGGTGTGACATTTCCTTGTACTTTAATCATGCTGAAGTTACAGATGTGTTAACCATCAATGCTGTGCAGACCTTCAGCTTCCTCCTGGCGTTGAATTTCCTCAACTGTTCAACTGTTTCTGGTAGGTGGATCTTGTAGGCATACCTGTCCCTCTCCTACACACACACACACACACACACACACACACACACACACACACACACACACACACAGATATGTAAGCACAAGTAGTACCTGTAAACACAACAATGAGGATATGAACATTCTCTCTTATGCAGGAACAAATGAAAAACAAAAACACACATGCAGTCACAAAAAGGATGTGAAAGCAAAGCTGTGGTTCCGAGCAGAAGGAAGTGTTACTGAGTCAGCAAGGCCAGTGGTTTAAAGGTGACTTTGAGCTCCTAAAGATTATATCTTTGAAGCACCAAATATCTACATCACACTAAATGTCTGCTTTCCGGTTTTTAAATACCACACATGGTCACAAACGTTGTTCAAGATCAAAGACAATAACCTGCTAAAGATGAGAGATCTTAGACAGAATCAAATGTATGACTGGAAGAAGTGTGCGTTTATGTGATCTTGCCTTCAGCCAGGGGTGGTTGAGGGCCTCATAGACAGTGATTCTCTCAGCAGGATCCAGCATCAGCATGCGCCTCACCAGGTCCTTGGCGCTCTCCGAGATGTGGGCCCACTGGCGCGGGTTCATCTGGACGAGTGCACACACAAACATGCAGAGGAGGACAGACACTTTCAGAAGCAAGTGGACCATTAGCAACCAAGATTACTGCAGCTGTTGTTGCCATGGTCACAGAGTCAGCAATGAGGAGGGTTGTAGGGAACAAATAAACAGTCTGTGTGTGCTCCATGAAACTACATAAAGCTACAATAAATATATATTCCTTATTGATTTATTGAAACCCTTTGGAATATCACTGGCTATGATCTTATTGTAAAGCCAAGGGTCTGCTACTGGTAGAACTCATCATTCATAGATTTTATTTTTCCAAAATGTAATATATCAGTTTAGCAGCACCTTGATCGAAGATACCATAGTGTGGTACAGCAGCATGCACTGCCTGCATCTGCCACGGATCAATATGTAGTAACTGGGTCAAGGATGACAGGAAGGAAATTCATTTTTATATAATAACCTTGGCCACAAAGATCCCTCACTGATACCGAAGACAGAGAGTTGCTCAGATTTTGACCAGACTTGTCTTTCAGTCTCATGTCACTTTTACATAACAAAATGATACATTTAAATGAATGGAAAAAATATGAACCATTAATAATACACTCTGGTGGTTCTGAAGTGATGTAGCATACAGTTCGGTTCTCTGTAACAATGCTGTGTTTGTTCATTATTGTGCTTAGCTTTAGCTAAACAGCACAGCTCTGCTGCTGCAGTAATGAACCCGTTCAGGTCTACACTGACAGGCCATGAGGGGGTTTTGTCAGTCATTTTCTTACCTTGTATTTCCCCTTAATGATGGCCTCAAACAAGCGCTCCTTGGTGCCGTAGAAAGGCAGGCATCCGGACAGGAGGATGAAAAGGATGACTCCACATCCCCACACATCCACCGGTTTGCCATATGGCTCCCTTTTTACCACCTCTGGGGCCATGAAGTGGGGAGTACCGACTCGACCTGTAGAAAGCAGGCAGAGAAAGAATGATAAGCTACAAGAAGATATGATACAAACTATTAACATATTCTAGTTCAGTTAATCTGCATGTGTTTGGGATGTGAGAATATGAAGCTGCTGGAGGAAAACCACAAAAACATAACATGTCTAAAATACCGCTCATCTTATTACCACTCATACATTTTCTTCTTCCAAGTATCCACTTGGTAATAATGTAGAAAGACTTATGATCATTAATCAATTATCAAAAATGATATTCAATTAGCTTTCCATTCTTTAAGTAACTACTTATTTCAGTTTGTGCACAGGAATGCATGTGTGAGTATAAACTGGTGTTTCCTGAGATACAAACTGTCCTACTGTACCTCCAGCTACTAAGCCCGACTCTCCCAGCTGTATTGCTACTCCAAAACCTCCCAGCTTGACTGGAGCAGAGTTCTCCTTCGAGGCCAGCAGCACACAGTGAGGCTACAGAGGAAGAAAGGGGACAGGTCAAATACCTCAACACGATAAATGAGGAGCAATCGCAATAAGATTTAAATCACATTCACACTACCAACTAACAAATGAGAATCTTCACTGATTCTTTCTGCACACATTTCTTTGCAGACTACAGAACCTGTGCAGAGCATTGCGCTGCTCTTTCTGTGCAAAAGTGCAGGACTCTTACATTCAATTGCTGGTTAGTGAACCTCAGTTTCACAATGTGAAGACAACTCGCTAAAACAAACCGCACTTTTATTATAATGCTGACAGGAAGTGGTTCTTGGCTCAGAATTTCATCAGTGTATAATAAGCATTAAATGCACGGTTTCTTTAACAGATTAAAATATGGCTATCACAATTTGTGTGTCATAGAGCAAGGTCTTGAATCAAAAGTGGATAGAAATGAAGTGACATCCGTTTGTTGTGTAGTTCACTAAGAGAACTGTTTTTTCTTTGTTTTCTCTGTAAATTAAAAACCCTCGAATTAGTGGCAATGCTTTAGAACTGTTTGGTTGATAAACAGGATGCCTCTCACCACGTCAGTGCTACTTTAAGGAAAAGATATCACTTTATGATTTTTAATATTTTTGCAAAAAAAGAAGAAACCTTTACACTTTACCAACAGCAGGTTGATGGGGAAAATGGTGATTTTGTCCATTTAAAATTAAATCTACAACACTAAGTCTGCAAAAAGTGAAAGACTTTTCTGAACACATATGTGGGCAATAGTCCACTGTATGTTCTAAGCTACTGTGTATGGTAATAAATGTCCCTGTCATCCTTTTCTGTTTCAATAAAACATTTGTGGTGCTCCACACCAAGTGAAAACATTTAATAAGGCAACATAAGCTGGTGGTTTGTAAAACACAAGGATATTTAACCAAATCATTCAACCTATTATTATTATTTATTATATCAAATTAAATGAACAAATAAATACTCAAATAAGTTAGCAAGACAGAAAACAGGAACAAGTACTGCAGCTTTTTCACTGCAACTCTGGACAAGACTTAGTTTATGAGAGGACTAATATGAGTGCCAAAAAACATGCTTTTTATGCAGGGGGAGAAATCACACATACTACAGGCACCCCAGACTAAATGACACTGATCAGTTCATGCAATATTAAAAATAACCCCAGCTCTGCTAGAGAAATAAATTCTGTCTAAATGTTGCATTCTTGGTGATTAAGCTATTTTGAAAGTGACAATGCAGCGAAGCACTCAAGAGAGTTGAGTGACAGATGTGTCTAAGTGATTGTCTCACTTCCAGTTTTCAAGGAAGGGAGTGGAGGAAGCTGATTGAGGCAGTGCAAGATCAGAGAGATGCAGTGAGAGCAAAAACAATAGGCCCGGCAGATCACATTCATACAGATGAGAGTTCAGAGAGGGGGTGGAGAGGCTACGAAAAAGCTTTTCAATAAGGAAATAAAGAACAAGGGCCAATACAGAAAAAGACAGAAGACAACCTGAGAACAGAGAGCTAAGAGGACGGAGCTGCAGTCTGCTGGATTTGTGACTCATTCAGTGACTGAAGAGAAAGGTGAAGATAGCAAACGAAAAGTGCTAAGGACAAGGACTGCTGGTTTTTAATTGCATCTTACCATGTATGTAACAAGTTTTATATAACAAGCCATTTTTCAACAAACTGCTTCCTGCTTTTGAAGTTTGATGGAGGAAAATTCATGCTGAACTACTGTGCTCTCAAACCTTTCTGCACACATTTCAGCTGCACCTGTGCTGAATCTCCTATGGAAGGAATATTGATGGTGAGTGGTCTGCTTTAATTCATGAGTGTACATATTTATGCATCTAGTTCTTCTTTTTTCTAGGCTTCACCATGATACTGTGAATGTGGAATGTATGCATTAAATAGGCATTAAAATTAACAGCTCCCACTCGTACAAAAATAAATCTATGAACTAAAGAAAACTGTTGTTCTGAGGGAAATGTGCACAATTTCCAGAATATTCAATGTCCTACTTCTGGAGCTCCTCTCTCAGAGGGTGCTGCACCTTTTTCATGGTATTGCATAAATTACAAAAATTTCCATTTCACACTGAGCATTACATTTGTGACCTTTACACAACCCCCAGCAACTCACATATTACTCACTAGTCTGAGCATTACTCATAAAATACAGTTTCACAGTGAGGACTCTCCATTTGTTCTTGTCTTTAATGTTGGCTGATTAAGATCTGCTTTTTCATTGTATTTGTTTAGTGACAGACAACGAGCTGATTGTTCTTTTTTATTCTTTCTCAGAGCCTGATTCAAAAGCCTGAAGTCATCACTACAGAGACACAATGACCATGTTCTCCTCTGCCTCTTCTTCCTTTTTAACTCTTTCAGCCTCCACATCATCGAACTCCTCTCTTCCTGTCTCTATTTTGATGTCATCCTTGTTGCCAGTCGCCACTCTTTCACCTTCCTTCACTTCTTCAAAGGTCTCTCCAAATGAGACTACCTGTTCATTTGATGACACGGCCCTTCGTCTGCCGCTGGTAGTCCTCTACTCCCTGTTCTTCATCTTTGGGCTCATGGGTAACCTCTTCGCCCTGTGGGTGTTCCTTTTCCTACATTCAAACCGTAACTCTGTGCGAGTGTTCCTCATCAACTGTGCTGTGGCTGATCTGGTCCTCCTGGCATGTCTGCCCTTCAGGGTCTTCTACCATGTCAATGGAAACAAATGGGTATTGGGATCTGTAGCCTGCAAGCTGGTGGGGAATCTATTTTATATGAACATGTACATCAGCATCACCTTACTGGGCCTCATTAGCTTGGACAGATACCTGAGGATAAAGGGAAAAGGCAGAGCACGGAAAGGCATTAGGATGAGGATGTGGGGGCACAGCCGGCCGTGGAGTTGGGTCGCCTGTGGCGTCCTGTGGGGTTTGTCACTGATGGCGCTGGTGCCCATGATTGCAACAGCAGAGGACAAAGAGAACAGTGACCAGTGCTTCCAGTACAAGCAGCGGCGCATAGCCAAAGGGAAAGCCTACTTCAACGGAGCGCTGGTGGTGCTGTTCTGGCTGGTCTTCATCATGCTTGTGGTCTCCTATGCAAAGATCGCCTCCCAGTTGCTGAGAGTGTCACGGGACAAACCAGACCTTCCCAATGCACACAGATTTGAAAGAACAGCCAAAAAGTCCTTCTTTGTCCTCTTCCTGTTCACCGTGTGCTTTGGGCCCTACCATGCCTTTCGCCCTGTCTACATCTTCTCCCAGCTCAGTGAAACTGTATCTTGTGAGTACTTGCAACTGGTGGACCGCACCAATGAGGTTATGTTGTTATTCTCTGCTTTCAATAGCTGTTTGGATCCTGTCATGTACTTTCTGTTATCTGGCTCAGTACGCAAAACTGTCCTCCAAACACTTGGACGCCGACTTGGCAACCGTCTTCTCTTCCTAAACGATGCGACATCTAACAGCTCAACAACTGAGTTCAGACGGCCGTCTGTGCCTAACTCTGCTCTGAACACCCCAAGAAACAGTATCTGTGTCATTAACTGCACCGTCCGCCGCACAGGGCTGACCATGCTTCCACCTACTGGCCAACAGTGATCACAAGAACGAACACTGGAAAAGTTAATATCTGATATTTCTAACTTAGGCTGAACTGGTTGATTCAAACAAATAAACTGTCTCTGCACACACTGATTTATACTGGCTTATGTCAAACAAAAATGTTTTTGTAACTGTTGAGCTATTCTTACTGTGCTGCCTTCAGAACATCTTTATTTAGTGGAAATCCTTGTTTGAATTCTAGTCACTGTCTGACTTAAAGACTGACAATACAGTATTGTTTGAAGAGATGCACTTTTGTGACTACTCTGACATCAGCAACATTTCTGAAAATGTAAATGTGTATATTGATAATAATAGAATGAGTGTATTTGTTAAAAAAATTAAATAAACACCTGTAGAATGAATATGATCTTGTCTCACAGGAAGAAAACAGATGCATAGGCAGACCCACATACAGACCTAACAACAGGTCCATGCTGTCAGCAGCTCAGTCTCCTTAGGTACACTGTACTAAACAATAACCTCCATCTTTAGTCAACTGTAGTACATCTGTCAATTTAACTTAAACTTACAATGTACTTTCTAACTTGAGATGAATGTATTAAAAGCTACACGTATGCAGGATTACTCCGAATAAGTTAAAACGAACCCCTACAGTAATCTGAGCCAGGGATGACTCACCAGCGCACACAGTTTGACACTTAAAACAAGGCTGTGTTCATCCCTGTGTTGTCAAACGGCTGGCATGTGGACCAAGGGCCTGGTTTCAGGACTGCTCCATCTGGTCTTGCAGTGTTTGCCGCCTGTGTTAATCCTGTTGGAATCACTGGTTGATGTTAATCTGACTATCCAGGTCAGCGTTTGACATGCAATACAACCTTTCATGATTTGGGGCTTGATGAGATTAGAAGGCGGGTGGTTGAGACTGAACACATGATCAGTCGAAAAGCCTAGACTGGAACCTTTTATAAAGAACAGATGTCAGAAGGACTTGTCTGTGGTATTAAGCATATTTACTATTCTTGTTATAAAAAGGATAAAAAAATTTCCTGCCCTTTGGTAACAAAAAAGTGATACATTTGGTGTTTTCACTAGTCTGGCACACAGTGAGATCTCACCTTTACATCACGATGAATCACATTGTTGTCGTGGCAGTACCGAAGTGCTTCTAGAATCTGTCTCATATAGTGGCTGCATGAACACAAAAACAGAAGGGGGAGATCATTTAGGGCATCCAATAAGTGATACTTATTTCAAGCTTTATTCATATTTAAAATGTTCTACCCACAGTTTCCAGACTGTGTGTCATACCTGGCCACTGCTTCACTGTACACAAACCCAGCATCAGCTCTCTTCACGATTTCAAAACACAGATCTGCTCCATCCATACTAAGACAGTGAAAGGAAGAAGACATTAGAGCAAGACAGAGATCACAATTAGGCTTCTACCAGTTAAAGATAAGCGTTTACACACGCAGCTCTCAAAGCAGCATTTAAAACAGAGTGCATAAAACTTTGTCCGCTCTATGACGTGCTGTCCCTGGGATAAACACAAAGGCACTAGATTTTCTTTATAGCACTCTTCATGCAGTACAGTCTCAGAGGAAGCTTGAATGAGGATATGGGAGAAGGATTTACAACACAGAATCCACACAGACAAAATTAATTAACCAGACAAGCTGATCTGAAAAATTGTAGGGTAGAAATACAGAGCTGTTCTCTGACTCTCCAAGGTCTGACGCTTTCAAATGACAGCATTTTAGTCATCACAAAAACAGCTTTCATTTAAGCACTTGCCAATCAATTCCCTTTATATTAAAAAAGGCAAAATTACAAAAATTACTACTATAGACAAAAAGAAGGCTGAATGATATTTGAAAATATACAATTAATACATGATGTTTTGTACAGCCTAGATGTATTCAGATACATACCATCACAAACCAGACATCTTTAACACCTCACTTCTCACCTATATTTTGTGTTTCCCCTCAGTAAATCTATAACCACAAAAGCGAGGGGGCTGGTAGTGTTAGCTTAGTGTTACCAGCAGTACCAACCTGTCAAATTCTGGAAAATGTACTCTGTGGTTGTTAGATTTAGTACATTACTGAGGTCACTACATACCATCTACTATATATATGTAAACTGTATAATAAACTGTATAAAAAACTATAAACTGTATCTTGCTTGTGTAATTGATCAGCCACTGTGCTGGTAAAAAAAAAAGTCCCCTGCCCTGATTAGAGCCACAAGGCACAAAATTAAACCCTATGAAACCCTGTGCAGCAGCGCTTCCAGGAGTAAATAAGGACAGCCAGCGTTAGCTAAAGAAAGCACTATGTGTGACTCAATTTTACACTAAAGAACCAGTTTGACTCTTATTAATGTATGGTCGATTATGTCATAGAACTAGGGGTTTAATTTACTTTTTATATGTATTTCAAGTCTATTTTCTAGATCTGCCTCTGATAGACTTACAATTCAAAGACCATGTAGAGCATGCCATCTGAGCTGTAGGTTTCCAGCAGCTCCACAATGTGAGGGTGCTTCAGCATGTGGCAGATACTGGCCTCTCGCTTCAGGTCTGCCAGACAAAAATTAGACAGAGGGCATGGTGAGATACACCAACCGTTAGTGCATTCCAACATGATAATACTTTACTTAAAGTACTTATGCACATGCATAATTGCACATTCACTGTTGACTACTGCACATGCTGCTCCCATGTACCATACATTCTCTTATTATATTCTTATATATTTTTATTATATCTCTGCATTTGCTGCTTAAAAAGCCTTAGATTTTGTGTTACTTATTTATCTACGTATATTTCATTTGTATTGTGTGGTATTCATGTGGACGGCAAAGTAAGAATTTCATTGTACAGGGAAACACATTTCCTAACTGTGCATATGACAAATAAACACTTTGACGTATGTGAGGGGAGAATTAGATTAAAATGTTTCTAATTTTTTAATTATAATAATTTAAAATAGTTCAGGTTATCCTCCCTGGCATTGGTGATTTGTTAAATCCTTTCACAGTCCTACTGTAGGTGGCAAGTTAAGGAAACAAAAAGCAAGGAGGATGATGCCCAGCACGCCACCTTCCTCCTCTCACACCTGAACTACACCACGAGAGGGAGCTACAGAGCAGTTCATTTACAGATAGATACTGAGAAAATAAAGTTGTCTCAAATGTTGAGAAAGCAGAGAAGCTAGTTAACAAGCTGGTAACAAACAGATGCAGCCCCATACCATTTTATTGTACATTTAAATGAACATCTGGCATGCATCAGCTCACACTGCAAATACAATTGCAACATTACTCTGTGAAATGTTTCCCTTTTAAAGAAAACGAAACACACATTGCACAGAATGACCAACAACCAGCAAGGCAAGCAGTAAGACAGAGATGCAGACTAATGCCGTTGAGCTCCTCACTCCATAAAAACCTAATTTACACACTCTACTCCCCATCAGCAATTCTACTGATCTCTGTATGTGTGTGTTCATTGTGTTGTGATAGACCAGCATCATTATGCAACTCAGAGAAATGACACTGTCCCCTCTACAGAGCCTCCATTCTAATGTTCCGTTGCTTTCATTATTTCTCTGCTCTCTCCTCTTTGCACTCATCCTCAGCCCATCTTGTTGAGTATCTATTCTTGAACTTAACAATGCTGTGCAGTGTCTGCACGGCAGTGAGGAAACCACTCAGACAGAGGGAGGGAGCCAGAGAGGCCTGGAACAGTCTGAATGAAACCAGTGGCATTCACGAGGCCAGTTCCACATCACTTCTTATGTGGAAAGTCCAGCCTGCATTAGGCTTTGTGATGCGATGTTAAATTATTTCACTCTGAACTTTGTTATATGATAGATTAAGGGAAAGGTTGAAAGTTTTAATACTGATTGAGAATGCTAACTTGCTAGCTTGTAGCTCCATCTCCTTTGCCTTCTCAATCACATTGTACTGATGCAGATTCTTTCTTAATAAACTCAGGTTATGTGATCTCAGAAAACCACGTTCCAAACTTGACTACGCTCCAGTTCTCTTGGTAAAACACTCTGAGCAGCCACTTGCTTATTTCATCTTGTCATCAGATATACTGTGGGCAACCTAAATATGCTGGGTGCCACTGACCACTGGATGAAGCATGCTAGAAGTAAGAGAAACCTTTACATTTTCACGAAATTACACTTCGTCTCAGGGTCATAAAAACGTAATAACAGCCAAATGATTTAAAGCATACACTTTGGTTTGGGAAACACTGGTTCATATCTTCACTTTTACTGTTTCTCCTCCCATGGGTCATTTCGTCGTCTTGCTGTTTTTGGCAGACAGACTCATTTCTGACTGGACCTCACAGATGGCACATATTGAACGCCAACATTACCAACACACACCTATGATCTTTGTCTCCATCTCTCTGTGTCTCTCTTAGGCACGCACAGGGACCTTTGCGTGATAAAGCGCAAAACCATATGGGGAGAAACGGCAAGCATAAATATGCCACACATGAGCACATTACAACCTAACCAAACAGTTTCAGTGTATTACTCATCTGGCTGCAGCATGTGTGACATTATGCCTCATTTATTTGAGTGGGAGAATTCCATTATACACTCTGTGTGTACTTTGGTGTTTGATATTTAAGGCAGTTCCTTTGTTTTTGCCCATAAGTCAAGGCAGGTGGGTGGGGTTGGTATAACAGCACAGAGAACTGTTCACAAGACAGTTAGTTTTAGATTTAGTTTTGTCCTGATTCCGTTAACCCCCACCCATCTGGTGCTCCAGGCGAACAACAGCAAATGCTAAGAGTTAACTGTAGCCACAGTTCAAATCAGGTCTGCTGTGTTGCTCACCTTCTGTGCTGAGTCCAGGGCTGGAGGTGAAGCTGGCCACATCGACAATCTTTACAGCAAACTGCTGGCCCGTGTCCCTGTTGATGCAGCGCCTAACCACGCTGAAGGGACCCCTGTAACACACACACAGATGTTGTTAGTCACAGAGATCTACACAAACATCTGCCCCTGCATGATTTCTAAAATTAAAACACAGAAATATTTCAGTTAGCATTTACCAGAAACACATGGACACTTAATCATTTGCACACGACCACACAGAGCCTGACCTAGTGTAACAGGCAGAAACAACACTATTTCAGAGAATACTGTGGATTTCCAATGGGTGGTTAGCTACACATCACAGCCTCCATGCTCATGGCACTGGGAATTATAGAGCAGCAGTGTGCAGCACAGCTGTAAAAGCTAAAATAAAAGCTATATTATAGAGACCTGAGGTACCCTACAAGGTTTATTTATAAGGAGGTAGCAGCTATTGTAAGGTTGTGTTTCCTCACCACTGCACTGGGCCTTACATATGGAAGCTATAAGGCATGTTTTCCTGTTCTTGGTCAAGGTTTTATTTGGCTTACTAATTCAAAAAGTACAGTTTCAACAATCTCAACTGAAATATAAACTGCTTAAGCTTATATGAACCAAATATCTGGATAAAAAAATATTATTTTCTATCTGAATAAATAAACAATTGAATCATATTACTACTTAATTGATGTTTAAGAGTCTGTGTCATGCTTTTCCTTTATTTTCTGACTTATCTACAATGTTGCAATTGTGAATTACCATTTTAGACGTGGCCTAAAGCTCAAAAAAATGAGGTGAATGTATGGTCTGGTATTTCTATGCAGAAACAACTCAGTTAATACACATCTCGCAAATTCTCACTTGCAAGACTTTTTTTTCTAACAAAGTAGTTTAAGTCAGTTTTCCTTGAATGGGCATAATCTACAGGACGTTGCACGTTCATGTGAGCTTGCCTGACATCCACCGGTGCACCCACCCTATTGGCAAAATGTTATATTGCCTTGTTTGTTATTTTTATTTTCAATAAAGCTTATTTAAAAAAAAGACATCCACCAGTGCCATTTTAAAAGCAGAATTTTTCGACTGCGCCTGGTTTTGTGGATATATTTTACCTCCTGCTGCTGCACTGTAACCAGAGCATGTGGAGAAAAAAATATATGGCCTGATGTTACTGCATGTCTGGGAATGTTCCTGTACAGGGACTCGTTTTACCTGACTGGGTCTAACCTACAAGCAGCCGAGCTGTGAAGCCTCCTGCAGCGGTGAATGAACTATCCTCTCATTTTTAGGAAGAGGTTCTCTGGTTTTATCATTCTGAAATAATTACAGACTATTTGGAGCTATGAGGGGTGCCGAGCTAATCTAGAGGTATCCAAGATTAAACATTAAATGGCTGGAAACAATTAAAATGAGCATGCCATGGGCACTTTAAAGTTGTGTCTCAGAGGTTGATTGAGTCAAGTCAATCAGCAATTCCAGTGTTTCGTCATTTCCTGTATATAGTTTTTTTGGGGGGGTTCCCCCCAAATAAATTTACCATCACCCAAAAAAGTCTGGCTTGCATTCCTTTTGTGTTTCCAGTATTACATCATTTTTAAATAAAGGGATTTCTTGTCATTTGTTAAAATCCTCCTCTGTGATCATAGTTGCTGTTTTTAGTGGACTAGTGTTAAAATTATGTTTTATGAATCTCTCTACTTATTTCAATAAAAATAATTTCATGTAAAATAAACCATAACATGCTTTTTGTTTAAATATTTACTACTAATCAGAACTTTTCTTTTAGTATTTTTCTGTTAAACTAACTGATTATATAGTCAGAGTATTCATTACATTTCTGCTTATAACACACTGGTTTGTTGTACCCTGGACCTTCCTGTGGGCCTTCTATGAGTATTTGCACACCATTAACACCGCACTGACTGGCACCCATGAACACACGGGTCAAGTATAAAACATACCTTTACCCCCTTAGTCTCGCAATTGCATAAGCTAATTCTCTCTGATTATGCCAAAGCACAAAGATTCAAAACCAGTATCATCTTTATTTGCAAAGTATGTTGAACACAGAAAGAATCTGATTTTGTAAGTCAACCAGAAAAATATGCTCTTAAATAAAATAAATACTGTATATACACATTGTCAAGGATGAGCTTTTAGATATTTACAACTTATGGCACTGGGTGCGTTTGCTATATCATGTACAGTGGTTATATTTACAAACTATTGCACTGGACAGACAACCGTGGATTAACTGTTCATGACAGTGATGGCATAGGAGAAGAAACCGTCCTCGTGTCTGATGGTTTAGGCAAACAGTATTCTGCTGTGCGTCCAGAGGGGAGGAGTTCAACGGGTGTGTCCAGGATGTGACGAGTCTGCCGAAATCTTCTCTGCCCTCCTCTTGAGCTGTGAGGTGTGCAGGTCCTCCATGGATGGCAGGTTTGCTCAGATGACTGTTTCTGTGGTCCAAACTGTCCGTTGGAGTGTGAGAATTAAAAAAATAAAATAAAATTGGCGGGAACAGACACTGAAAGCTGAGACATTTGCACATTTTCAGTCTCTTGGACCACTGAGGGTTACACACACGAACTTCATGTTACAGCTGTCTCTCTCCCAAGTCTACAATTCTCAGATGCAGAACCAAGGCTATTGCAGACACACACCTATAAAACTAACAAAAGCAAAGCGGTGGTGGCCATAAACATTGTTGGTTTAACAGATTTATCAAATGAACCAACAGCAGTAAAAGCTATCCAGTTTAGGCACCTGTGTTTGCTGTCAGGAGCTGCAGATGATTCGCACTCACATATGTTATAATGATGACCAGACAAACAAATGCAGGCAGCCTGTGGAGCCTGGCCATCTGACAGAACTGTAAAATACAAAACTCCTCCCTTCCAAGTCCACAGGAATCCTGCTTTTTGATCTGACAACCCCACTGACCTTTGGCCTGCTGGGCTGATGCACTGTAGCAGCTGTGTTTCCCATGAAAAAGAGGGCCGCAGAGATGGGTTTGCTGTTTGAGTGCTTCTGATGACCTTGGCCCACACTAACAATACTTTCAGATATGTTTGAGCAATGAAGGTGTGCAGGAGGTTAAGTCAGAGGCTGCAACCACATGGATACAAATGATGTCGTGAGGGTAAGACCATCTTGGCACTGATCTAATGAGTGTCAATAAAACTCCTTACCACCATTAAGCACTGAGGTGTGGTTAAGTGAACCTGCCAGATTTTATACATCAGCCCCATTTGTTCTTGGCTGTCAGCTAAACTGAGGTGCTTGGAGAATCAATTCACATAAGGGGCTGTTTTTACAATAGCTCTGTGTTGCATATGCAAACGGATTGAAACTGTTATTTAATTAGAATGCAATTCATCGCATCATCTGGAATAAAAAATTAAATGCCCACTCAGCCATGTACAGTAGCTATTACAGAGGCATTAAAAGAGATCAAGTATGTATAAAGTCGGAGAGAGGGAGTGTGTGTGTGTGTGTGTGTGTGTGTGTGTGTGCCTGAGCGTGAGGAAGCAGAGAGGCTGCATATACAGACATCAGGACAGCCGTGCTGAGTGGGCTCATACAAAACACCCACACATGGTTCACATCGAACAGAGGCAGTCATCAAACATTAGTCTGAAGTGGCAATCTTTCCAGCCTGCTCATTTCAATCCTCTGCTCCATGTAGTCAAAGACCTTGTTAGGTTCATTTTAAACATCAATGCTGGCCATAAGCCATATTTCCTCTCAGGTCTCTGTCCCCCAGGACACATCTGTAGCGGAAGGCTCAACATCACCAGTACTGCTCTCCTGAGAGCAACCATATTTGCTTCAAACAGCATTTTGCTCTATAGCCGGGGCCAGCCACCCGTCTGTCCCAAAAAATTTGAAAGGAAACTGAAAGCTCTAATAACGAGGCAGGTAAATTGCACCTTATCAAGTCTCATCATTGTGCACATTATCATCAGTGGCAAACAGTGACAAGCCTACACCAGCAATTTACTCTACACCATCAATTAGCATTTTTTCTGAAACACCTAACTTTATGACTAACAAGACAATGCAATCAACAGTGAATGCACACAAATGATCAACAGCCCACAAAGTTGGAATTAACATAATTTGTGTTAGTTTGATGTGTAAGGAGATTGTGTTTTTAGTGCCAGGATTCCACAGAGTGTTAAAAAATAGGTGTGTCAGTGCCAATTCCTATGGGAATACAGAGCTGACAGCTATAAAATTACAACTTTAGACATATGTGCTCCGAATGGGTGAAAAATAAAGTCCACGAAAGTGATTCCAGCAGATTAACTCCATCATAAATGATGTTTGCAAAGCTGTTAGCTGTTAGTTTAACAAAGTTCAGTGCTGCTCAACAGGAGCCTGAATGTCTAAGAAACAACAATCCATAGTGCGTCCTTATGCAAATTAGGGAAGCAACCCTTCAAATATTAGTTGGGATATTAGCATTCAGGTTGCAAACTGTAATTTAGAGCAGGGATACTCTCAGGAGGTTCTAAGTCAAAAAAGTGGCAGAAAACTATTTCCTCTACAGAGAAACCAGGTTAGTTTCAACTACCTTATGCAGTCTGGCCTTGCAGTCTTAAAGACAGCTTCAACTTTACATGCCCATTCACAACTACTGATCTGCTGTGTGGTGGAAGGCAGGAAGTGCCCCAGTGAAGTCTAGGAAAAAAAGGCTGCCCTATACAGTATATTGCCACAAATATCACAAGCACATTTTACATGAAAGATCTTTGCATCTAAGTTTTCAATGATGTGAATGTATCTTTCTGTTGGTAGCTTCAGTTACAAAGCAGATGGGGAGATGACACAATCTATAATGTGATACTTTATTGATCCCAGCAGGATTTCGGTGTCTTGCTTCAGAACACTTCAGCTGAGTAGATGCTTGCTAAGCTGGGGGCCTGAACCCTGGGTTTCATAGCTGGACAACAAGGGATGGGTTCCGATAGCTAGTTCTATTTTGGACCTAGTTCCAAGTGGGTGACAAGGGATGGATTCCTGAAACTTTATGCCCAAATGAATCCGTTATTGAACCCGTCATTCACATTCTTTATTTACACTCTTTGGCTTCTTTGATTATAGAGATGTAGCCAAAAAAAAACACACACACAAACTGGTGATAACTTAGTGACAACTGTTATAATATACATTATGGTATACATATCAATATACCACATAACCATTCTGAAATCAAAGAAACTGCCGCCAAATGTAATGTGTAGGAGAGTACAAATAGAAAAAGGGGGAACTTGTCCTTTGTTTAAATAGACATCTAGTGTTCATCATGCTGAAGTGCGAACTTAAGTTAGATATCATAATGTAAGAAGGATGAGTACTCAGCCTCAGTCTGGTGTTGGTGTGACTCATCTGATCTGTCACAGAGCAACAACCAGTTCACCTTTAGGTAAAGTTCATAGTTCAGCAAAATATCAGCAATTTACTTCACTGATATTCACAGACACAATTGCCTGATGTTTTAATGAAGGATATGTTAACAGTACTTATTACACTTGCATCAGTAAATTAAATTTCACTTATAATAACACACAAATCCTAAATGTTTTCTTCCTGTTATGTCTCCATGATCAGGGCTGGATCAAGGTGAAAAAGAACTATTAAAAATTCCCTGAATAGCTGTGAATAATTTTACCCGTGTGAAGCTAATGAAAACGTCTGATTTTTGACAACTAAAATTTACCTTTCATTGCTTAAAATTAAGAAAAACTAAAGCTTCTAGTGCTTAAAGAGTTTTGCCTTTCAGTACTGTAGCACAGCATTTTGTGTAAGATTTGCAAGCTCTGGGTTGCATCTAGGATAAACTATCATTAGTCCTCTAAACACCATCAAACAGAAAAGAAAATTTCAGATTTAAATGTCACCCAAGCAATTTCATTATCCAACTCAGAATAAGCCAGGGGACTGATCACTTCATTGGTTAGAGCGAGTCGCACATCCCAATATCCTTGGCTCTAATGAGCACCCCAGGGCTGAAGTGAAGAACACTGTGATGCTGATAGTGCTTCTCAACAACAAAAGTCCAATTCAAACAAAATCACAACAGAGAAAATGGATTAAATTGCTTCAGTGCTTTGTCATCACCTCAGCCAGAACCTCAAAAACAGGCCTGTGGTTATCACACTCCTCACAACATATCATCACATACTATACACATATTGTGTATGAGCACAGTTCACACGGCCTGATGTTAATACAGTCAGGGGTTGAAGTGACAGTTCAATGAGCATTCATATGAATGGGCTGTAAAGGAGGGTCGGGCTGGATAATAGGTTTTATGTACAAGGGTCAGTGAGACATGCTATGCAATAATATGAGACATCTTCATGACAGCTCCTACATTATGGCAGGAGTTAAAGTACATACCTTTCACCACAAATTTATTAGGAATTGCTTCATTTCTCCCACACTTAATTATAGTAGTTTTTCAATTACTGTGGCCTGAACCAACACTGATGATACATTCACCTCAGTGCCTGGGTTTAAAAAAATTCATCAGAAATTTCATGTTGACTGGATAATTCTGAACTGACAGGCAAGTCAGCAAAAATTTTGAACCTAAATTTCAGTTTTGCTGGAAGAACACAAACAACCCAAAGTAATGAGAACCTGTCAATCCATTTAACCCAATAAATGAACAACTTCTCAAATCTGGCTATTCCACTATGTGACAAAATAGCCTGGCCTCTGTTAGAAAATGTAGTTACATGGAAAAGGCTTTTAATGATGGTTTCCTGTGGCTATTAACATTCTGAGCTATCTGCCATACTTTCCGCTACCTACAGTAGTGCTGACATTAAAACATGAGGTTCTAAACAAAGCAGGAGATGGCAGAGTGCTGCAGTCAATATCTGCTAGCATTATTTCTATCCTTAGCCTCAGGGCCATCCCATTCCCAACTCCACTTGCCTCCATTGATCTGCTTCAGCCTCCCTTCCCCTCCCACCTCCATGCTGAGGAAAAATGACTCTCCTGCTCCCTTCATCCAGCAACACATCCCAGGACACAATACACTTGATTCATCAAATGCAGTTTCACAAAAGAATTGTCAAGATACGAGGGATGCTTCTGAGCTTTTCTATGACACAAACCTGGCACCTTGCTTCTTTACTAAAGCTTAACTCATGTATTACTCTACTAATCTTTCAAGAGTGAATGACCATACCTTAAAGTAGGTTCAACACCCTCAAGCCACATTTGCAAATACCGTCATTCTGTGTGTTTGCTACTAGCTGCATGGAGTACCAAATGGGTCGGGGTCTCTACAGTACATTTTGGCTATGAGGGCAGCCTGGATGTATGTACAAATGTGCCATTCAATGCAGGCCTCTGACATCAGGAAATAATGTTGCTATGAAGGGGTGTACTTTGTCTGCAACAATGTGAAGGTAGGTGGTACATGTCAAAGTAAAATCCACATGAATGCCAGGATCCAATGTGTCCCAGCAGAATACTGCCTCTGCTGGTTTGCCTTCTTCCCATAAAGCTTCTGGTGCCATCTCTTCCCCAGGTAAACCACGGACGCTCACCTGGCCATCCATGTGATGCAAAAGAAAACATGATTCATCAGACTAGGCCACCTTCTTCTGTGGTCCAGTTCTGACGCTCACATGCCCAATGTAGATGCTTTCGGTGGTGGACAAGGCTCAGCACAGGCACTCTGACCACTCTGCACCTATGATCACCAGCATTAGGGTTTTTAAGCAATTTGGAATCAAGCAAGATAAATTAGAATAACGAAACATTTCATTTATAATTCACAAAAGCCAGTGAATTCATCTGTTCATGGGACACTACTGGACCAGCAATCAATTAACAACCAAGGCAACAGGAAGCCTCGGGATAAATACCAAGGTCTGAGAGTCTGGAGAGACTGTACCACTTTCCTCTACAAACTGATCTTTAGGCCTCCAGTAAGTGAAGCTTGGGGAATAGAGGAGCCTTGTCTGACCACACAGAATTAACAAGCACATTGTGGCAATTTAAATAGAACACTGCACCTTTGCATCTCATGGTAAATATAACCACTTGACTGTTGTACCATTAAAAAAAGCAACGTGTCGTCCAGCAGCCCCATTGAGTGTTCTGACCAGCTAGCCAGTCTGCCTGTAACTGGATGCAGGTGTGGCTACTCTCAAACCGGAGGATCTGAAGAATTAAAATCCTGTGGGCAAACTATTATTGATGTGCAGCTGAATGATTCTTACACAAACCCAAACTGACAAACAAAAATGAGAACATATTTCTTCAAAAACCATAGTAAACAGAATGTGCATAGACATATAAAACTTGAATTCTTTTCAACAATAAAGTATTTTTAAAAGAGGTAGGGGGCCACCAAGATCTATTCTACGCCACACTTTCAACCTGTGAATAATATATATGATACATATGAATAATGAATACATATCTGCTACACATTAGGTTGTGTAAATTGGTGTTCCTGCATGCAGATCATGATGTTAAGCACATAGTTTGAGTCTTAATAGTTAAAGTGTGATGTACTTTCAATGGCCACCTTATCTCACCCACCCAGTGAACTTTCCCTTTGAAAAACCTGTGGGCCTGCACATAAGAACCACCTTACAACTCAACCATGGTACTTGCAGCTGTGTTTGTTTGTGGTAAAAGGTAGGATCATGCAAAACAACCCATATAGCCAAAAGCAACAAACAAACGAGGGAGTGGACATATAATAAAATACTTACTTTCCAATCACCTCGCACAGCTCGTAGACATCCTCGAACAGCACGTCGTCGTCCGCCATGGTCATACAAGCAAACGAGGATGCTCTCCGCAAGATATCCCACCCACACGGGTTTGGGAAGAATCAATGATAGCGTTTTTTTCTTACTGAACGGGGTTACTTTTGTGCCAGACTGCACAGTCCTGGTGATTTAAACTCCCCGATGTCAGTGACGGGAAAACCAGTGGCCACTCAACAGTCCAAGTTAACCGGCTAGCCACATTAGCTGGCGTCCAAGGCTGTCACTCTGCGGCCCCACCTTCTCCTGAGCTACGCTCCCTGTAGGCTGGCTAACCAGCGAGCTAGCTAAGAAGACCACAGACCAGACGCCAGGGCGTAGAGATTTTCTCACTCGTTTGCAGAAAAACGTCACTCTTTGGTTTGTATCTTACTGCCAGGTACGGGACTTCCTCAGTAGCATCCACAGACACTTCCCGCACCGACCAAGAAGCCCTCCTCACCGCAAGCTAACGGGTCTCTTAAAAATGGTTGGCTAGCTCGGGTAATATGAGCTAACTCTCGGTGAAACAACCGGGGCTCTTATTGCGGTGTGCACACCCAGTATATCACAGATGGCTTATCCTACCGAAAACGTAATGTGGCTGGACTGCAATATGTTTCAGCTTCCCGAACCCAAATGGAAGATCTTCACGTTCATGTCGACGTCTGCTCTGTTGCATATACCGTCTGCCTTGTGAATGTTGCAGTTAAATCATATTTTCAACACAGCGAACCCTTCATCCGCCGTTGCTCCAGATCCTACAGCTCAGATGCTGGCTGGCTTTGACTGGCTTCTGCTCTGACTTCCAGAAATGCCAGGCTCCTCCCTCTATCGTCCAGGAAAGTGGTCCGGCCAGAGCCGAAATGGCGCGAGAGAGTGCCCCTTCATTTGTATGTTTGCGTCGGTGGAGCCAACATGGCAGTCAACGGGGACCCGATTTAGGCGTAGTTTCCTCATCTTTTTCAACGGTTGCATCCAGTGTATCCCGCGCAAGCGTCGACTATCCAAACTCCATCACCTTACGTCAGCCTTTTCTCTTTCTTATCTCCATCCAGCTTATTCGCCTTTAAACTGTCCTCCAACTGTAACTCACATACTGACTATCAGCCACTGATAATCAAAAAGGGACAGCTCGGTGTCCATATTAGGCTGTTTCATTAATTTCATAATGGGATGGTGTCATATGTGTATTGTAATGCTCTACTATGGACATTGTGACCATTTAGCACAACTAACTACAACCCTTTCTTATATGAACTTGGTAACGTTTTGGCAAAAGGCTCTGGAGAACCATGATAAAGTCGATAATAAATTGTATGATTAATCTATTTACTTAGCCCATCTGATCTTTCTGCAGGTGCGGGACAGGTACATTTCCTCAGATGTGAGAATACTACTCTTGCTGGAATGTGTTGGAGATGCCCCGAAGGAAAGCAATCGTATAGGCTACATCTCTATCTTCTATTATAGTAACCTTCAATAACTAGTCTACATTTCAACACAACATAAGTAACCCCAAAAGAACTGGGAGTCAGTTCTGTTTATAGAGCAAAGCATAAAATATATAAATATATTTTATACCATCAGTTTATTATTGAGCAGTGGTATAAGTTGATCCATTTTAACCTCTTTGCTGTAAATTGTGTTACATTTTCTGTGAACAGTTTATCATTTTGTACAATTTTAAGAAGTATGACTATAACATAACTGTTTGCCTGTTTATTTGGTTTATTCCGTGTGTATATATATTTTACAAAGCAAGACTACCACTAAAAAGGCTACGTGAATAAATATAAAATTTTAAGAAGGCCTCCATTCAAACATAAAAAGTAACTGACAAAGACAAAATTTTGAGCTGGGAGACAAGTAAATGCAGAGGTGAAGTCAGCTGTGCAGATGCTGATAAACATATGTCTGATGCCTCTAGAGGCCGCTGTTCTTTTATGGTACCCTCAGCGGTTTCCATGGCACTGCATCCCTTCTGCTCACACATCATCTGCGAGCTTCCCCCATTGGTCGAAGCCCACCGACAGCTACTGATAACGCTATTGGCTGTTGATGTGGTCATAACACTGTATGTATGGCAGTGTATGAGCTATTGAGCTATCCATTCATTAGTACTTGCTAAATCTACAAATGCATGCACATATACACACAAGCTCACATTGATATAGGGTAAAGGTAAATGAAAAGACTAGAAACATTAAATATAGAGCAAAGTATATAATTAGAAAAAGAGAAAAAAACGTAAAAGAAAGTAGAGAAACACCATACGTGGAGGAAAAAAAGAAAAGAGCAGTTTCCATAGTAACAGGGAGGAGAATGGTTTTGGTTGCATGTGAAACTGGCAACTATAGTGAAACATGCACACACACCCATAAGCCTAGACATTCACTTGTTTTTGCCACTTGGCAGGACATTGGAGTTATTTACATTCATCCCCATGTACACTTAGCCATGTAACTAACACCTACCTTATCCTTAACAATAAAGAAATAAAAATAATACTAATAATAATAAGGGGGAAAGCATAAATCCTAAAATGTGATGTTTATCTTGTGGGCATGTTATTGCCAAATGGAAGGTTAGTTCCAATAATGTGATTAAACACATAAGCGCATGCACACACATAAATATATATAATGGTATATTTGTAGGTAGTCTAAATGTATACAGTACATGCTCCAGATTTTTCTCCCTTTGTTTATTTCCTCTATCCTTCCCTTCTAAAGCTAGTTGGCATCAGCCCCAATGGTTTAATCAGCCCATGCTGTCTTGTCATAAAACTGTTGTTGTCATTCCAGTGTGTACAATGTTTTGTCGAAAAATCAATGCCAAGTGTATAATACTGTATTATAAATTTAAACATTATCTGTTTTCACTATCATTATCTGGTTTAATTTGAAATAAGTGACAATTGGCAACATCCCAACAAAGCATGAAGAAAAAAAGTCTGGGAGCAGTTCAGTCCAGAATAGTGAGACATTTAACAATTGCAGCCACCATGAGGAAAAAAGAAAACAAATCTTGGACTGTCAGCTGCTCAGGCTGAAATACAAGATTTTACATTCTTCTTTATAGGTAGTAACACTCAACATCCAAAGACTGAAATGAATGTTAGACTTAACTCAAACACTGATGGTTTTTGTATTCTATTCACTGCCTTTGCAAGGGTGAAAAAATAGTATTGGACTTATTGTATCTGTTGAAATGTGGTAATGTAAAATACATTTCTGGTTGGGTTAGCATTAATAGCATAACAAAGAAATTAATTATTGTTTTTGATGTTAAATCAGACTACCCTGTCTATAATCACTTTTTTAATAAATTATTTTTTACTATCTATTATTTAGTCCTTATTTATTTTCTTCTCTCCCATTTTGTCGCGGCCTTTTAATTTTTTCCTTTATTTAATAGGCAGTTGTATATTATTGAACACATTTTATAATCGCCTTACTTCGAAAAACATTTGTTAAAAAAAATTACGAGAGCCCACTTTTTATTAATTTTCACGTTGCTATATTATGCATATTATATATTATGCATATATATATATATATATATATGCATATATAAATACACACAAAAAGCCCCCTGTACGCGCCACCCATAACAAACATAACAAGCACAGCAGCCCCACAG